ATACATCAGAAGGTACAATGAAGTTGTATATCCGATCACATACGGAAAAAGGGACAGGAAGTGCGTCTGTCATGCCCAAGCCAGCACGCAGAATGGGTGTCAACCCAACTTTAGGCTTAATACTTGTACCTGTGAAAGGACCAACTGGTGTTTGCTGGATAGTTTCATTAGCACACAGGAAATTAAGTCGTTAGCACGCATCCGCAGAGAGATCACGTACACCTTCAAAGGTCTCTTCTTCCAGATCGCGGGAAGCTTCGATGCCTAAGATCAAGCTGATATCATGGATACCCTGCCTCGAACGCTTTGATTCCCTGACCACTTCACACAGCAGCTATTGCTCACCTCTCGAAAATCCTTTGAATTTGTATTAGTCTGCCGCAATTGGGACAATCGTGCATTCACCAAAGGGTGCGAGAGAACATGGCGCCTTCCGTTGGACATGGTTGTTCAGTACAGATTAGGTACATGTACCAAATGTCGTGCCACAAGTTCGATTGCCAATTTATGTAAGAGTGGATTTGGCTATAGGCCAATAGATAGGACTTCAAGACTGTCGCTACTTGAGACTACGGAAACGATAGTACTATCCTCATCTTCTCTTGTATTCGCAAGGTTTTAGGACGCCACCATTTGACATCACTTTCGACCACTCTTTATCCGTCCTCGATGTGCGAGCTACTTTCTTGAATTCAAACAATGTAAAATGACTGTTGTGATCGTCCTGAATTGTGAAGAGACTCAGTCTGTACCATCGTATACTGTGGGCGCGCTTTACCTTTGCTTTCATTTTGAATCCGATAGAGCTAATTAAGGACACGAATTCATCCACGTCGGTAAAGCGACTGGCAACTTCCGCAATTTTCAGCTCCCCCCTAGATCAAATTGAACACGCCAGGCGTTATGTGACAGCGTAGAACGTACCCGGGTTTCAGAACCCTCCATGCTTCCCGGATGCACACAGGCCAGTTGGTTCCCATAAGACTAAGGGCACACACAACCACATCCACAACTTGCGCTTCACCTTCAGATATCAGAGACGATGAAGGCTCAGAACCTGGAAGAGGCACATGTGCACATATGTCCGCCGCCACAATATAGGCACCGTCGGATATTAGGTCAAAAGACAGTACTTTCAGCTTCTTTGGATGAAGGCCACGAGCAAGCGTGGCATCCCCGCAGCCGAGATCTGCTATGATTGTGTTTTGAGGGTAGGATGACAACTGAGAAATGTAATGTGACACAGGATTTGATGGCCATGACTGCACCTGGTGTCGAAAGCCGGAGTGATACTGTAAACAGACGTGTATGACAACTCTGTTGGAGAAACGATGATAAAAATACACACATCATGAAAGACCGCTGGGTCTTCTTTCATCATCCTCACCGCCTCTGAGCTGTCGGATTTGTAAAGCAATTCATTTATCCACCTGCACCATGACCGTTTGTGATATGCATTAGAACATCGTGTATCAGAGTACATACCTGAAGCGAGCGCCATCAAGACTGTCTTTCATGCCCTTCTGCAAACTTGTGAGCCCCGAGACTTCATCAGTTGTGGGCGAAACGTTTTGTGGCTGTTGCTCAAATTTTCCACCATCGGGCTTCGAGCTCTTCTTTTGCTTTATCTTCTTGCGCAGCCCTGATTCCCCTTTCACTGTTTGTTTGACTGCGCTCCCCTTGATGGACCCACCAGGGGAGGATGAAACTTTCTCCTTTCCCTTGTTAGAGGTTGCGTGTTCAACCTTGGCGTCCGGCCCCCCTGTGGTCTTTCCATGATTCTTCTTTTTCTTCTTGGGCCCTTGCTTATCCTCCTGGTGTTTTCCAACACTTGCAAGTTTTTGCATAAGCTTGTCTAGGTTGACCTCGACAGATTGCATCTTATCAGCATCTTGAGCTACGGGTCGCTTGCGTTTCTTGGAAGTTGACTGTGCCAATTTTGAAACTGGAGCAGTGGGCACAGACCATCCAGGAACCTCGAATAGCGCCATCAGAAGTAGTATGGGATACGGAGTATACAGCTGCCCATGCTGAGTCCTGTCAGCAACTCCGCGAACTTGTTTGATCCCGATTCGATCAACTTTCGTAACTCGCAATTCAAGTTGTTCGTTCATTCGCGCCTCGAGGCTACAAAATTTTGTGATAATCAAGCGAATATTCCTAGCAATTTCACCATCAGACAGGGATTCTCAGGCTGCACATCAATCCTCTCAAGATTCTATATATTTAAATTGATGGGTGATCCGCGCTTCACCACAACTCGCGGATACGGCGAGGAGGACACTCGGACGCGGCATGTAACTTAGGTTTTTCCTACATCATCAGGATCACCCACACAGCATGGATAGGCTCTCCACGCTTGGCCTCGTGCCTCGCACCCTAGAACGAAACACGCGGCAGACAACCTGGAAGCTTCTTAACAGAAGCATGTGATGCTTATTTACTTACTGTCTTGGTTTTATCTCGAATCATCCAGATTCTCTCCAGCATGTCTACCAAAGGCAAAGAGAAGATGACTTCTACGGCGACGGACCGCATCGATGGGACACCGCCAATTAACGACGGCGTATTCAAGCAGTTCATTTCGACTCGCAGGATGCAGCCAAACCCAGCGTCTTTTGCTTTCATTGTAAGCGCTCGTTTCAAGTGGATCTCATTTGCAGTACGTAACATTGCAATGTCAGCCAAAGCCTCCTCCTTCGCCTTCTATTTCTGCAAATCGAACTAACCGCAATACTCTGCAACCATCGCTGTCGAACAATTCGCACATATCCCTTGCGCGACAAACATTGGTTTGGCAAATCCTTTTTCATTGACAAATATAAATTCATGGATTCTTGACTTTACTAGTCTGGCACTCCTTCCCCACGTACGTGACACATCTCAACAATGCCGATTCTAATAACTCAAACACCAGCCACACGATCAGGAGAGGTAAGCCGACGCCCTACCTTTAAATTATGATCTAAGAGAAGTGCTCTCTCAGCTAAATGGGCACTCGGTCACAAACCTCAGCAGCGCCAGCACAGTGAGTGTACTTGCAATCGTATGCAGATTAAAGCATTTTCACTGAGGCTCTGGCAGCGCTCTGGAGCTTCCGTCGCTACTCGGGATCCTGCCCATGTAGGCGTCTTGTTGGTGTAAATTCTGACTGACTCACATGTGACCTATGTCAAGGAGGAACTAGAACTTCTCCATGACAGCATCAGTGATGTTCGGGGAAGAAGCAAGGATCATGAACTTCGCACAGCCCCAATCATAACCCGTGATGCATATATTGCGGCAGGTTATCGTGAAGGCGCCACTCAGTACGGCGTCTTAGGCAGTATTCTGTCCATCCAGTAAGGCAACCCGTGTTTTTGCATTCATAGACCGAGTACTGATACTCTTGCAGCAATAAAAATAATGTCCCATACAAGCCAGTGAATCCTCAGCTCTATGTGAACACGGTATGCAACTCCTTCGTGTGAAGCGCGTGTCCAGCGTTTTCTTATTTTTGCACCCCTAGAATGCACCCTTCTCTGCTGTGGTCTGTGGGGTTCAGGGCTCAGGGAAGTCTCACACAGTTTCTCTACTTCTCGAGAGCATGTTTGTTCCGAACATGCGCTCTACTGGCACCCTACAGAAACCACTGTCAGGGCTCGTTCTCCACTTCGGAGAAGGAGGTCCTAGCTCTCGACCTAGTGAAGCTGCATGGATCAGTTCGTCCCACATCCCCGGTGTACAAACGCCATCAGTCAAAGTTTACGTCTCACGTTCTTCTCTGAAGACCATGAGAGCTGTATATGCCCCCTTGGGTGACGGGGTCACTGTTGAACCATTGTTCTTCACTCAAGATGAGTTGGATGCACAGGCATTTCTGTCCATGATGGCTGTCGGCTCCTCCGAATCAGCTCCGCTATATATTCAGGGTATTTTGGTGCGTATTTCTCTTTTGAGTGACTTTCTTTGACAACACTATTCCTGTAGTCGATTCTCCGTGACCTTGGGGAAAACTTCACTTACCCCGAATTCATGCGGCAGTTGGATGTGAAGAAGGAGTCGTTCAACAATACGCAGCTCGCAGGTCTCGAGCAGAGGATGGCCCTGCTCACATCCTTCATGAACCCAAACATGAAACCGCAGACCCGCTTTGCAGAATCGCAACTCACGATCATTGATTTATCAGACCCGTTCATCGACCCAGCGTCAGCATGTGGGCTGTTTGAAATCATCACGCGTCTGTTTGTGAGAGCGGATGTGGGGACCGGGAAAGTGCTAGTAGTTGATGAGGCCCACAAGGTTTGCACTCTGAAAGTGGACTGTTTGTTGTCATTGACAATTTGGTTGGAACAGTACCTGTCGCCAACGAAAGGCTCTTCTGGCTTGACTAAGTCTCTCCTGACATTAACCAGGGAACAACGTCACCTAGCCATGCGCGTTATCATCAGTACACAAGGTACTCGGCGCTTGTATCTTCTGCATGTCGGATCCTCACACCTTATCTTCCAGAACCTACGGTCGTGCCACCCGTTCTGCTTGATCTATGTACTGTCGCAATTTTGCACCGGTTTTCCTCCCCATCGTGGTGGGAACATCTGGCAAAGCATGTATCAGCCGACATATCAGCAGAAGATGCCTTTGATCGTGTTGTTAAACTGCAGGTGCGTCATCGAGCTCAATATATGGCACTGTGATTCAACCTGATATCGCTGCTCAGACAGGTGAAGCGATCGTACTTGCGCCCTCTGGCCTGGGAGTATTCCCAGATATACCCGATGCTGCCAGGACGGGACATGTAGTTCCGGTGCCGAAACTCGGACAATTTGGTCGCCGCTACGTGCTCATGAAAACTAGACGCAGGATAACAAGAGATGGCGGAGCCTCAATACTCGTGGTTGACGACTGAGTGGGGCAAGGGCCCTGGACGCGGAGCGGTGTTGACAGAGGGCTTGTCGTTCCCACTCTTGCAGATGACAATGATTAGCACATATTTAGTTTACGCTTGTTGAGGTGTACCAATACCATGAAGATCCTTTGCATGTAATACAGTGCAGTGTTTATGAAGTACAGATGTATGCATGCGGCAGGTACAACAGTTAATAGAAACAACAATGTAGCATGTATGAGACAACTAATTATCAGTATGTGCCAGTATGTGCGAGTGTTTCATGCTGGAAAAGAATGCAGGGCTAAACCGATTGAAAGCAAAGGTATTCTATGCTTGAAGATATTATACTGATTGATGAAAGCAGGCAACTCAGTAGGGATTGGTTGAAACGCGGCGAGAGAAGACTATGATGGAAGTGAATAAGTGGTATCCAAGTCTGCAAGCCATCCATCAACATACATTCCAGGGACGATAAAAAAAACGTGCACGTCCGACATCATCAGACGATCCGCATAGGACTTCCAGGCGGAAACGAGTAGTCATCTATGTGGACAGCGTGCGATAGTGGACTGGATTCCGCAATACCAGGTCCTGTCATCTTTTTATTGCGACGACCAAGTAGGGTTGCGTTGTCCATATCTAACTGGAAACCTGGGCCACCAGGTTGACGGCGGCCGCGATCTCTTGGGCCAGCGCGACCGTCCAAAAGACTGCGATCTGCTTGGTTAGGTCCACCGATGACATTGCGTTTTGCGACGGTCTTCGCCCCGGCGCCAGGTAACCCACTCAAGGTAGGCGGTATTGATGCACGCATCTCAAGCTCCCCTCTCCTGTTCCGTGCATCGTGTACGAGGACTTTGTCGTCGACGTTGTCTTCCTCGTTCTCATTAAGTCCATGCAGGTATCCTCGGATACCGGCACCGCCGCGACCATTGTATGCACGCCTACGTGCACCTTCTTCCTCCATACGGTGAACTGCATAGGTAATGTCGAATGCTTCCTTGAGCGTTGCAAGACCAGGAGAACGAGCCTCTAAAACGCCACCACGAGCAGCGGTAAGCAGAGGAGAGTCAAGCGGAGGAGAGTTGACATAAACAGGAGTGGGTGATACTGGTGGGGGGGCAGGAGCGGCAGTGCACCACGGGTGAGCAAGGAACTCATCTATGGTATATCTCTGAGCAGGGTCCACGCATAACAAATGTTGGATGAGATCTTTCGCTGAGCACCAGTCAATAATCGTATTTTAAATAAAAAGTTCGAAAAAAAATACCAGAATGGGTGATGTCATCCCACCACGGACTCAAAAATGTGTAATATCCCCGCGCGACCTTCTCTGTTAAGACGTTTATACTCTCATCGTAGAACGGCGGGAATCCGCAAAGAAGAGTGTAAAGGACGCAGCCAAGTGCCCACATGTCCACACTTTGTGAATAACGTTCATCCTTGACGATTTCGGGGGCAGTATAGCCAACAGTTCCGCATGGCGTCATCGTTTCTTCGTTCCAGATCACTTTTGATAAGCCAAAATCTGCGATCTTGATTCGCCCGATTCCGCCTCCACCAACGCCTGGGACAAATTCGCCTTCATCCTCCTTTTCCTCGTCATACGGACGTTGTACGGAACCTTTTGAAGGAATGATAGGTATCCGTTCGAATAACAGATTTTCCGGTTTGATATCCCTATGACAACTGAATGTCAGCGAACGTCATTGCTCCACGAAAAATGCAGATACCGATGTACAACACCACGTTCCTCGTGAAGATAACGAATACCTTGTGCAACCTGAAGAATCACGTGTCTTGCTAAATTCTCACTGAAATACGTCAATTTGACGATCTGGTGGAACAACTCCCCGCCCTCCATGACTGCGTGCGATTTTGAGTTACTGACACAGGAAAGATCGCAATCACACATACGTTCCATAACCAGAAAATAGTGTTCTTGTGATTCGGAAAATGAGATCAACTTTACGATCGATGGGTGATTTGTTCCCCTCATGATTTGCACCTCTACAATCTAGATAAGTGCCGCGAATGATCAAAACAATATGACACGCCTACCTTTCAAAATATTGGCTCGCTGCATGAAGATAGCACAGTTAGCGATATGTGGAACCGTTCAATTCCAAACGTCACCTCTGTTACGCGCGGCTTTTTCTTGAACTGAATATTGAGATGTTTTTCGCCGGCCTAACAGAGGGACAACAAGACACAAGCAATGTAGGAGTGTCATGAAGCGAAGCCGATAGGTGGGACAGGAGTTGTGTGGAGGACAATGTATGTGAACTATGTGAGGGACGGGGGTACGCATCTACTTACCTGCGAAGCATTCAACTCAAATTTACGAACGACTTTCACTATGAAATTTTTTATCAGCCGGTTATAACGGGAGAAAAATCAAAGAAATAAACCTGCGACTGTCTGCCCAGTTGTTAGATCTAGTGCCTTGTAAACATTTGAAAATGCGCCACTAAATAAAAAGTCAGACATTAAATATTTAGCACAGTGACAGATGATATGACACTCACTCTCCCATCTTATCCAAGAGCTTGAAGTTCTCCAAGCCTTTGTAGGTGGGCAGTTTATTCTTTGGCTCTCGATCCTCAGGTACGGGGGTGTTGATTTTTTGATGCCGGGTGTCAGGTACGGGCTCAGGCTGAGGTATGTTCTCAGGCTGTTGTTGCTGCCTCTCAGGCTGCTGCTGTTGCTTCTCAGGTTGTTGCTGTTTCTCAGGTTGCTGATGTTTCTGAGATTCCTGTTCAGCTCGTAGCTTAGCCTGCTGCTGCGACTCCTGTTGTTGTTGTCGATGCTGAGGCTGGTGATTTGACTCTGGCACAGGCGCCGTGTATGGCTGGGGGTCAGAGTCAGGATGCCGATGGTGATGATGTTTGCGGATGAGATCTGGTGAGAGTTAGATGACTGCCTTCCCAAATAAAATGAAAACATACTCTTGAAAGCGTCTACGACAGCTGGCATGGTTGTAAGAATAGTGGACTGGAAATAATGAGTTGGCGGTACGGAGTGCGTCCGACAGAAGCCTTTTTGTCATTCCAGCCTCTCAAGTGACGTCACTTGTAGCGACTCCAGTCACGTCACTGCCTTTTGCCTGATTTGTGTTAAAATAGCGCATGACTCTAATTGCCCCGAACTGCGTTGCTAATAAGTATAATATTGAAATATTAATATCATAAATTGCTTCAAGTAATGCTTCCACTAGTACTTTCCACGTCCCGATCCCAAGAATCCGCTCGATCCCTTGGTGGGGTATGAACAAGTAGCAGATTTCGTGCAGGAGAATACCCTGCCAAGCTCACCGTGCTTGGTTTATTCCTGAGCACCGGGGTCTCGCGCACAGCTCTCGGTATTATAAGAGCCGGGCGACTTCGTGCATTCAATGATCCTACAGGAACGCCCCGCACGCTTCCACTCGGTGCGATTTGCTCGCCTGTGTCGCCTGTTTGCCTGCTAACCTCATTGGCGGGGTGCCCTACTTCTTCGCGGTTGTTCCCATTGGCCCACGCTATGATGAACACCCCCGCGAATGTCGCACCACATCCATACGTAAATGTGACCATTTGGTGGAATGTAGCCCGTTGGAAGTCCTTGTAGAGAACAGCGGATCCGATAACGGCAGACAGCGTGAACAGCACAAATTGCGTAGGTATGACAATTTTGGAGTCAAAACGCTTTAGCGCACGGTTCAAAAACCGGATTTGGAGAATGCCTGTGATGATCAGAACCTAAACAGGATCAGCACATTAAACGGAATGAAAAGCGACGCTAAGATACCGCAAGGACAGGATAAGTTATCCACTCCGCAAATATTTTGCCCCATTCTTCCGTCAGCAACGTGGAGATAGCCTTAGTTGCTAGAACTGTGAATCCACCTGACGCTGTTATGAGCTCATATTTGGTGTGATTCGAACTGACCTCACCAAATATTGCGCAAAGCCCGACGTCAACAACCACAATTCGCCTACCAAAACCACCTTCGCTGAGTCCCGCTAGTACCACGGCCCATACTAGGTATATAATAGTGAATACTACAAACGAACGTTGTGATATAGCTGCAATCAGGGCCTCTGGTGTAAGGGGCGGCGGCGGACCTCCATCAGTGGAAGGCGTAGAAAGAACGACAGTGATCGCTCCTATCATTGCGCACAAGATTCCAGCGAGATCATGCTAAAAAAACAATCCCATAAACATGATTCGACAGCAGCTGAGGTACTATCTTACCACGCGAAAACGCTCTTTTAGAATGAGTGGAGCGAAGAAGCAGTTAGCAATGAGTGCGAACTGTAATATGAATCAGTAAAGATGGAAACAGCTAACAGAATATACTGACAGTGCCTAGAGGAGCGACCACAGAGGCTGGTGCAAACGCATAGGATATGAAGTTGCCAGCTTCTCCAATGTTCATTAAAATGAATCCAGACCACCTGAAACCATATTCGTTATCAGTAGCAGTACCTTCTAGAATTACATCAAGAACTGACCATATCTTCGAACGTAAGTAGTCACTCTCCGTACCTTCTTCTTTCCAGAGCTCAGGTGAGGGAGGTGCCCGCCTGTCATTGCCGTTCAGTGCAACTATGCGTTCTGCTGGGATCACGTCTACTGGAATCGCCAACGTTCCTTGGGTATGTGATCCATTTTCATTAACGCCACTGGGCTGGCCGAGATGAAATGGAATAAAACGCGATACCAAGCTGGATTGCCTTGAAGGCTGTCCCGGCCTCCGTCCACGCGCTGAAGAAGTGCTCTTCCTGCTCCTCGAATCATCACGTCTAGTCCCAGGTGAGGTACTAGTGCCATAGCGTGCACGTGAATGACTGGCAGAAGAGCCCTGGATCAAGGGCTGTGTCTCGGACTCATGAGAGCCAGTAGCGGGATCGCCAGAAGGCCTCTGATCGTGTGGTGTTCTGGAACGCCGTGCATCGCCCGATATATGTAATTCGCGTTCCATCCTCGCCTGTTTTTGAGCTTTTTCGAGTCGGATATGTGCAAGCTTTTGTAAATTAAGCGCAAGCGAGATAAGCACGTTCCCCGCAATGGCTACTGTGATGCCGATGCCAGTCTGCAACGTGAGGTGCGGCAGGCCAATACCCGGCTCATCGATGCTGGCCGTGTGGTTTTTGCCCTTGAACCATGATGATAAGTCCATGTCCGCAATAACTCAAGGACGAACAACAGCCTAAGAGCAGTTCAGAGTCAGGACAACATGGCCGACATCCCCTTTACTGTCAGTGAACTAGCCAATTCGAGAAGAACTAAATTACTGACGGAGGAGAGTCAGTTGGGGGTATTGTCAGTTGGCCTACAGCTCGTCTGCGACTGCAGACTCTACGTGTCAGACGTCGTGCACAAGCGCTGCAACACAATTAAGTTAAGGTTGGTCGGGGGTCATTCGCGGCTACTTGAAGTACTTTTATGATCGCACGTGTTTGGAAGGTCATTCGCACGTTTATTAGTTACAATGCACACGTCGCGCTTTGAGGTGCAGAGTTTCATTCCGTCAGCGAGCTACTAGTACACCCGGTCACCCCGTGCTATATCAGCTTCAGCTTTACTGTATTACTCCACCCTATATTACGCTCTTTTCAATTAGTCGACTCGCGGCCATACAATGCGCGCGCAGCATTCTACTCACCCACTTCCCGCGTTTCCAGTGTATTCATGTGCGTTCGTGGCTTCCGACCAGATGGTCGTCGGAGGCGGAGGTGGCGCTGCCAAGAGTGGGATTAAGAACAAATTGGTGAGTAACTGGAACTATATTCAAAATTACAGTTTGACGTATGTGGGGTAGAGGCTATTCAATGTCTCTCAAGACAGACAGCTTAAAATGCTCTGTGAGCATGAGCTCGAGAGAGGCGAGGACGCCCCTATGAGTATTGCAGCTCACCCAGAGGTCTGTGGCACTACTTTTTTGACGGTGAATAAGGTTCTCAAACATCCATAGAGCAGAAGCTTTGTCTGTGGAATTAATAGTTCCGAAGAACGCTTAAAAAGAGATGAAAATGAGAATTGCAGGGTGTTTTCAATTAGTGATTCTGGAAACGCGTACGTTCCATCGCGTTTATGTTTACACAATTTTGACCATTCCTCACAGCCTAATTAAAGGAGCTACACGGGGTACATTGCCCTCGGGAGCGCTTGAGGACTACCAGGTAGCTCATTCTTTATTGAACTTACTCTATATCTTACATAGACAACGCAGCGTGTAACCGTCATATCACCGGATGGAAAACTCCTGGCAGTGGCCGGCGAACGTGATGTAAAAGACAGCACTATTGTTGTTTGCATGGACTAACATTGTGTTGTAGTTATCTCTTCTCGCATTCCCTTCTCTTTTGCCTGTTGCTCAGTCTGTTCAAGTACCCAAAGGTGAAATTTACGATGTGACATTCTCGCCAACACACGTGCGTCTTCATCTCATTCATCTCATCCCGTGTTCCTCACGACGCCTTTCCCAGCTTGTACTGGCCACCAATCTGAACCTGTTAGTATACGCACTTCCGAAGCCACCATCGGAAGATAATGGTGAGAAAACACCAAAGAAGAAAAAGGGAAAACAGAGAAGTAAAGGAAAGGAGAAGGAAGTACATTCTAGGACACCGAGCCAGACTCCTGAACTGCGGCTTGTGGACACGGTCGATATTCCTTCGGTTCCTGGCGCTCCTGCACAGTCCGTTGTAACATTTCGCGCCGCGCGGTGAGTGAAATAATAGACATTAGCATGTAAGATTATAATTTTATTGCAGCTTTCACCCTTCAGACTTCAGCACGCTGTTTACGGCCGTCAATACTGCTGCGCCTCGCGCGAAGAAATCCAAGATGGCCAAAATGCAGGCTTACATATTGAAATGGAGAGTCGACCTAAGTGGAGAGCAGAATTCTGCTCGGCCCATGTCACTGGAGGGCTCCCGCAAAGCGGGTGAAGGCGGCTTGACGTGTTTTGACGTTAGGTCTGTGGTTAATTATGTCAAAGCACACGTCGTGTCCGTCTCAGACTATCTCTTTCTTTTTCAGTCCCAATGGGAAGTTCCTTGCTTTCGGTTCATCAGACTATACGTTGGGAATGCTGGACAGTACTACTCTGAGCGTAAGTCACCAATGAACTCTTTGATCATGCACTCATATCGAACCTTAGCCGCTCTTGTCTATACTCAAAGCGCACGAGTTCCCTATAACCACTGTTCGGTTTAGCCCTACCTCAACGTTGCTCGTATCCGGTGGTGTTGACAACTCGATAAGGATTGTTACTGTACCAGAGAGTTTTGCAGGTCAACGTAAGCTTTGTAATTGAACCTTAGTGGCCGTGAAATTGACAAGCAACCCGCAGCATGGACCATGATTATTTTGTTTATTCTGGCCCTTCTTGTGATATTGGTGGCATTTTTATTGCAAAAGTAGGCGTTATGTTACTATCAGAACGTTTATTGCAGCGGTTAGTCTGCGGACCTTATAGCATATACATATTAGAGTAGGCTACAATACATGTTCAATACACCTCTCAACCGTCGCAAGAAAACCTAATCAGAGTGTTCAAGTCTCTAGTCATAGTCATCCTCCTCGACAAGTTTTCGCTTCACACCGTTTGTTTGTGTGTCTCCAGTAGTCTGCACCTCCTCCATTGCGTCATCACCTGAGTTATCGTCGTCATCATCACCTTCTCCACCAAATAGACCATCCGCTTCTTCTGCGTCGCTGTTTTCTTCTAGTGCTTCTGCTGCGACGACAGGTAAAGGTGTGCCGGCACTGATGTCAACATCGGTCGGTGTTATGGGAGCTGCATTGGTGTATGGTATGGCAGCAGGCTCCATATCAGCATCCTCATCATCATCCTGACCGTCCGGTAGGTCCTCATCATCTTCATCTTCATCTTCCTCCTCAATCTCTTCGACCTCCTCGTCGTAGAGTTTCGCTTCTGGTGGTGGTTTATTGGGCACGAGATTGAAGTTGACAGCAGTAAGTGTCTCGGATGAGGGCGGGAGCCTAACACCGAAGACTTCTGGCACAGAAGGAAGTGGTGTAGCATTCGTCT